CTTTTTAATCCTCCCCCTCTTTTACTGTTTATTTTGGCCTAATTTTAGATTTACAGAAGAGTTTCATGAATTGCAAAGAATTGCCATATACCCTTCAGCTAGATTCACCAAATGTTAACATCTACCACATTTACTTTATTCTTTCTGTTATATATGTTTGGCTTTACATTTTATATAAATATATAAGTATACGTATAAAATATTTGTATATTATATATAACTTTTTTCTGAATCGTTTAAGAGTAAGTTGCAGACATGATGCACCTTTACCCTTGAGTTTTTCTTAAAAATAAGGGCATTATTTTATATACCCTCATTGTAGTTATCAAAAACTAGGAAATTAACATTGACACGTTCCTATTATCTAATGTATAGACCTTATTTAGACGTAGCCATTTGCCCTCTATAGCAGGAGAAGGTTCTGGATCTGTGTTGCATTTAGTTGTCACGTCTCTTATTTTCCTTTAATCTGGAATGGCTCCTTAGTCTTTCTTTGCATTTCATGACATTGATATTTTTGAAGTGTATGGTACTTACATTTTTGTAGAATTTTCTTCAATTTGGGTTTGTCTGATGTTTCCTCATGGTTCAATTCAGGTGGCTCCTTTTTAGCAGAAGTTAACAGATGTGAAGTGTTTTTTCCATGTATCATATCACAAGGTACATGATGATGAGCTGTCTTTGATCACTTACTTAAAGTGGTGTCTGCCAGGTTTTTTCATCATAAAGTTATTTTTCCCTTCATAATAAGTATTTTGTGGGGTGATGCTTTGATTAGATAAATGTACTTTTAATTTTCAAATGTTTACCCATTAGTTTTAATATACATTAATCTAGGTAGGGATAGTCTTCATTTTCCTGATACATGTTGCAGATATTTTCTCCCTGTTTGTCAGTTGCCCTTTGACTTCGTTCATGGTGTTATTTTGCCATGCAAAAGTTTGTTTCGTTTTGTATAAATTTGATGTAGTCAAATTTATTTATCTTTTATTGCACCTGGTTTTGAGTCATAGTTGGGAATCCTTTATCCACACCTGTGTTAAAGAGGCATTCACTCATGTTTTACTGTAGTACTTGTATGGTTTTATTTTCTACATTTGGAACCCTGATCCATTTAGGGTTTATTCCTGGGTATGGTGAGAGGTATAGGTCAGTGTTACCTTTTTCATAAATAGTTGTACCCACATGATTTATTAAAAAGTCTACCTTTGTCCCAGTGATGAGATGCTACCTGTATCATATACTAAAGTTTCATATGTACTTGGATGTATTTCTGGATTACCTATTTTATTCCTCTAGACTGTGTGCCTTTACTGTGTGGCTTTAATTACATATAGAGGCTTTATAGTATGTTTTAATATCTGCTAGGGCTAGTCCTCCTCAACGTTTTCTTTTTTAGTGTTTCCCTGACTATTCTTGCTTGTTTGTTTTCCCAAATGACCTTTAGTATCAACTTAATGTAGCTCGCTAAAAAACCTCTTTGATATTTTTATTGGGATTGTGTTATATTAATTAATTAATTGACATCTCTTTGATGTTGCTCTTCCTGTCTAAGAACAAGGAATGTGTTTATATTTGTCCAGTCTACTTTTATGTCTTCCAGGAATGTTTTCCTCATGTAGGTTTTGTTAAATTTGTTAAATTTTTCCCAAGGATTGTATCTTCGTTAGTGTTGAAAATGGGATTTTTCTTCTAACTGGTTATGTTTGTGTTTATGAAGGCTTTTCATTTCTGTATTTTAGTCTTTTTATTCTGCTACTTTACTGACATTTTTTATTGTTTGAGTTAGTTTTGTCATTAATTCTCTAGGGGTTCCTAGGTTGGTGCTCAAATTTAAATATATACACACTCACCCTCCCACACTCATTGGTGGACTGGCCTTTAAAGGAGTAAAGTTCTGTTAATGATAGCTATTGCTATAGGTCTAGTAGAGAACAGCAAAGCCACTTGGTGGATTAGGTGCTGGAACCTGGCTGGGTTTACCAGTTAAGTGAGTTCCACGCTCCACACTTTTACTCTTGACTTATCAGCACACTGGATCTGCTCAAATGTCTTTAGCCTTCATAGGAAAAACCATAGCCTCTTCTAAGCTGAGAGCTAGTACAAATAAATGACATTACTATTACTATGAAGACAAGCTACTTGAGAGTTATTTTCCTCAACTTAAAAATGAGACCTCTGGGGGCTTCCCTGGTGGCGCAGTGGTTGAGAGTCTGCCTGCCGATGCTGGGGACACGGGTTCGTGCCCCGGTCCGGGAAGATCCCACATGCCGCGGAACGGCTGGGCCCGTGAGCCATGGCCGCTGAGCCTGCGCGTCCGGAGCCTGTGCTCCGCAACGGGAGAGGCCACAACAGTGAGAGGCCCGAGTACCGCAAAAAAAAGAAAAAAAAAAGAAAATGAGACCTCTTGGGTTACTGGCCTCATGAAAGCACTTTGTGAAATACACTAGTGTAGAAATGTTAAGTGGTATTAACTGTACATTTAGAAGAGATAAGATCGTGCATTTTTTCATGATCACTTTCATCCTGCCAGTTTTTAATCATACTTATCGATTCAAAATCACTTTTTTGAGGAGGCCTATGTTCATGACATGCTAGTGATAGATGTTTTCTATGTAGGCAGCTTACCTCCTGTGATGGACCCTTCTGACTTGATCCTGACTCGGGGAACCTTGGATGAAGAGGATGAGGAAGCAGACAGTGATACTGAAGATATTGACCACAGAGGTGAGAGGTGGCTGAGGTGGCTCATGAGAACAGAACAGCTGCTTATTCTTTCATTGTTTGCCCGGGAGCTTCCTGCTACTGAGGGAAGACCTTGAGCGTGAAGCCAGTTACAGGGGAGAGAGGACATGCTAAAGGATGCAGCACCAGGAAGGAGTTCCATATATTCAAAGTTCCTGGCCTTCCTACTGAATGGTTAATATTGAGCTTGATTACGGCCTTTTATTAGTCTTGTGTCTTCTCATCTTTAGGTCCTAACTCAATTTTGAGGAATCCAGGATTGTTTATTGTAATCATTGTTTTAAGAATACAAAAGGAGGCCTCAGCAGACCTAAACCAGTCAGAAGGGACTGTAGCATTGAAGATAGAATGGCTCTGGAAACCCAAAAGTGTTCCACTTTGCATAGTTTTATGGACTGTGGACAGAATCTGTTTCTTGAAACAACGCTTTTAGGTCCTAGCTGTGCCCAAGAGCAAACTTCTCTTTATTCCAGTGTGCTGGATACTAACACGTAAATTGCATCATTTAATAAGATTTATTGAGGTATAATTTACAAACAATAAATCCCACCCTTTTATTAAAGTGTATAGCTTGATGAATTTTAATACATACGTATAGTTTTGTAATTACCATTATAATCAAGAAACAGAACACTTCCATCACCCTAAAAGTTCGCTCAGGCTCGCTTTTATTCAGTCCCTTCCCCCACACCAGTTCCTGGCAACTGCTTACCTGATTTTTATTCCTATAATTTTGCCTTTTCCAGAATGTTGTGTAAGTGGAATCACAGTATTTAACTTGCATTTGACTTTTTTCATTCAGTGTAATGCTTTTGTGATCCATCCATGTTACTGCATGTGTCAGTAATATGTTCTTTTTTATTGCTGAGTAATAGTTCTATTATGTGGATGTACCTTTGTTTATCCATTCACCAGCTGATTGACACTGGGGTTGTTGCCAGGTTTTAGCTGTCATGAATAAAGCTGCTCTAAACATTCATTAACAGGTATTTGTGGACAGAGGTTTTCATTTCTCTCAGTTAAAAATATGTAGGAGTGGGACCTCATTTTAATTACTTTATGAAGGAGGTATTCTCCCCACTTACAGGTCAAAGAAATTGTACATTTTGGGCAACATGATAAATACAGCCTGCTTCTAGGAGATATTTCCTTATTGGGAGAAGTGGACATACAGTGTCTTAGAAATATAGTTGACTCTTCAACAACTTGGAGACTAGGGGTACCCACCCTCCTCACAGTTTAAAATCCCTGTATAATTAACTTATAGTTGGCCCTCTGTATCTGTGGTTCCACATTCGTGGATTTCACCACCTGTGGATCGTGTGGTACTGTAGTATTTACGATTGAAAAAAATTCGTTTATACATGGACCTATGCAGTTCAAACCCGTGTTGTTCAAGGGTCAAAGGTACTATTTCTGATGGATGGGTGACAGCAGCTCTAATCCACCTGTCTAACGGGAGAGTTTAAAAAGAATTAACCTTCTTTTTTCCTTGCAGTTACAGAGGAAAGCCGTGAAGAGCCAGCATTCCAGAATTTTATGCAAGAATCAATGGCACAGTACTGGAAGAGAAACAACAAATAGTTTCTAAAGTCCAAAATTTTGGAACTCTGTGTGAAGGGACTATCCTTATCTCTGATTGGGGGCTACTATAAAGGACAATTTTGTTCAGGATAGCAGTTTCTCTTACTAGTGAAATCTCCTGACTCAGATGAAGCCAGGGATAGAATACATTTGGACCTGGCAGGTAGATGCTGATTCCCCTTGGCATTTTCCTTGGATTTATGCAAGGAAGGATATTCTGGTTTTGGATGCTCATATCCCTTCAAGCCTAAAACTGCAAGTTTTATCATTTGAACACACATACTTTTGCTGCTGATGGACAGAACAGAGAGAGAACTTAGTGGGCTGGATCTGTAGCCTCTACTTCTCCAGCATCTTGCCTTTGAACCTGCACCACGAGTTCCCCTCCTTTTAGCAGAAAGAGAGGGGGAAACAGGAGCTTGTCCAGAGCTTGGCACTGGAGTCTCCTTGGCAATCAATCAGTCTTGGTATGAAATGTGCCTCAGACTGGGTAGCTTATTGTAGAACACCAGGTTCATTGAAGAAAGTGGGCAAAACATTGTTAACGAATAAGAATTCTACTTTAGATGGTGACTTGGATAAAGAGTTTTTAATTTTAACTTTGTTGTAAGCCTGCCTGTCATAATTTCAAATAAGAAAATTATCACAAATAGTCACTGCAGTTCAGAAGAGAGGTTTAAAGCCACATGTTGTTTACTAAAGTTCCATGTACGTACCACACCTAGTAACCAGGTACAAAGCCAGGCCCTGTTTGTACTGTACTTTAACTTAATGCAGTGTATCCTTAGTGATTTACTCAAAGTCCACAGATTTGGGTCAGTTGCACATTCCATATATAACAGCCCTGGTAAGGGTTTGCTTTGCCTCCACATTCTTCACAGTATCTTATAACATTATACATTTCTCTTAAGGAATTTTATCCCTGCCTAACCTGTATTCCAGATCAGTGGTTCTCAAAGTGTGGTCTCTGGACCAGAAGCAGCAGCATCATCTGGGAAGTTACTAAAGATGGGACATTCAAGCCCTATATCAGAAACTGGGGGGGTGTGGGTGGGGCCTAGCAGTCCGTTTTACTAAGGCCTCCAGGGGATTCTGATGCATGCTAAGTTCAGAACAATATTCTAACTCAAACAGCCTATGACGTAATTCTAGGCCAGGTGAATCTCAGATATCAATGTGCTTATCACCTGCTTTATCAGAGTACCCCAACCTTGACCATCTGGTGCCTATTCTCCAATCTAACATTCTAAAAATAAATAAAAGTGTTTTGCTTTACATGAAGTATTAATTTCAGTATTCTGTAACTAATGGAAACCACTGGTCTAAAAACTTGAACCTGTTCTTTGAGAGGAAACCATTTGCACGGCAAAACTCTGAACATACCTGATTTTTTCCCTTAGTGCCTTTGTATACTTTTTACTTAAAGAGGAACTTGTCTGGCCTATGCTATAAGCTCCATAAGGGCAGAGACAGTCTTACTCATCTGTGTATCCCTTGCAGAGGACCCAGTACATAATAGGTACTCAACAAATGTTTGCTAAGTGAATGAATTAAATACTAGGTGGCTAATTTATGGAAACTGACCACCTGATGTGTACTTTCATCAATAAATAAGCAAAAATAAAGCTAAGCCTGGAACAGGAAGGGTTTAGATAAATGTGCCAAGGATGTACAATTAGCAAACTTATAAATGATCTGGTAACAGTTTAAATTATAACCTCATTTTGTTGCTATTGCATTCATATTTATTCTCAGTGCTGGATATTTAAGGCACTCAATGATGTGGGCCTTGATTTCTGGTCTCCACTAAAGGAGTGCTCTAACTTTCACAAGACTTGTATTCTGCACCCCCAAACCAAACTTCAGCAGTATTTAACATGCACACATTTGCTAATTCCTCCTGATTATTCCAGTGCTACATCATTTACTTCATAAATACTGGTCGAGACTATCAGATGCCAAGCAGGGCAGGTACTGCTATGGATGAGTAAGAGCAGTAAAGTTGTTCAAGACACGATGTAAAGCAGAAAGGTGCATACTGTTACCCTTTTGGCGGCTGCCCATCCAGCAGAAACACAATGTGCAGACAGAATTCTGGCAGAGGAATGGACTGTTCTCTGATGGCCAAGCAGATGCAGCAAATGAAATAGGCACGAGCCTGTCCTTGGACAGGTCCTGTTTGCTTCATTCACAAAGGAGAAAAATGAATGGAGCAACCAAAAAGTGTACATGGTGAAAATATAAAAAAAAATCTGAATGGAAATAAAAAAATAAAGATGGTGGAAATACATGGAATAAGTCTAGAGCAGAAGAAAATATGTGGCTGAGATAGTAGAGGGCTGTCTGAAAAAGCAAAAAGCCTGTTTACCACAGACCACTCTGACTTTATAGGCGACCTCATGGGCAGCAAAAACAGTTTGAAAACAAGACTACTGATAGATAAGCTATGCAATGTTTAGCTATTTCCTGTTAGGTATTAGCACTGGATTCCCAAGGACTTCGACCAAAAATGAAGCAAGTTAAAAAAAAATTGACATCTGATACCAGCATATATTTACTTGTGAGTCTATTCAAGCACAGCTTTGAGGCTTAACAACATCTCCATCTTCATAATATCTCTGCAAGGTAGGTAAAAGCAGTATGATTCTTCTCAGTTGTGCAAGAGAAACAGCTCTAGAGAAGCTAAGTCACTTGTCTAGTCACACAGTAGATGTCAGGGACAGTGCTTTGGTCTCTGGATTACCATCCCAGTGTCATGATGTCTGTGAAAGGTAGCTTGGTTGTTGTGGAAAACTACAAAAACTGGAGGCAAAAGGAAAAAGCAGACTTATTTGGTTAAATCCAGTTCCACTGATATCAGGAAAATCCACTGTGTTTAAGAATAAAAGTCAAATCACTGTTTATGGAAACGAATTAGAATACATCAAGATTTTCTGTTGGGTCTTGTAGGTCTGGAGAGAAACTCTCCCTCTTTGCCTTATATTTTCCTCATCCTCTTTTTACAGCGCTGGTTGAAAACAGGGGAGGACCCCATGAGGCTGTCAGTGGAGTGGGAGCCGTAGCTGCTGTCTGAGTCATCAGGGCTCTGGGGGATCCCAGCTTCACTCATGCCTGACATGGGCTCCTCGAACACATCGCTGCCCAGCACGCCATGCCCAGAGACGTTGCCTTCTTCACTCTCTTGCGGCTCCATTTTCACGTGGGCCAAGTTCCAAAGAAGTGAAGCATTTACTTCTGTACCTGGGAATGGAAGAAGAATGTAGAACTAACTAGCAGTAAGAAAGGCTGGAACAGGGCTTCCCTGGTGGCACAGTGGTTAAGAATCTTCCTGCCAGGGCAGGGGACACGGGTTTGAGCCCTGGTCCGGGAAGATCCCACATGCCACGGAGCAACTGAGCCCGTGCGCCACAACTACTGAGCCTGTGCTCTAGAGCCCATGCTCTGCAACGAGAAGCCACTGCAGTGAGAAGCCCACACACCACAACAAAGAGTAGCCCCCTGCTCGCCGCAACTAGAGAAAGCCTGTGCACAGCAACGAAGACCCAACACAGCCAAAAATAAATAAATAAAAAAAATAAATTTGTTTAAAAAAATCTATTAAAAAAAAAAGGCTGGAACAAAGTAGGAGACACGCACCACCCAGGGCCAACTGATGACCTTTGAGGTCAGTTTTCACTCTGATTCTCTACTTGGCTGGAGAATATGGTGGTTATTCTCTGCTCAAACAGTTACCAACTCTAAATATCTTCTTTTCCACTTCCTCACCCTCCTTTACCCCAGCTCATCCGCCTCCATTTTCCCTAAACTAGGGAAGTAAAACTATGCTCGTGGAAAGATTCATGGTTCAAAGGCAGGCACAACCATGGGCTCTTAGTCAGGTGTTACATTGGCCTGTCCTTTTATGGGGCTGTCTTGTTTTCCTGCCTTGTGTTTGGGTCCCTGGTCCTCTCTCACGTTATGAAAAGTTAATGACCAGTACGAAATGCTGGCAGCTGTTCCCAGACTGCTGAAAAGAGACATGACCCCTACATCTGCAACAATTTCTTTTTGGCTCTCCTGCCTCTGTGTCTTCTAGCAACACTGTTCTGTGGTTATTACGTCTTCCATGGTGAAAGGCTCTCTGCCCAATACTTTAAAAAATGTGGCCTAATTCTGTTTAGGCTACACTGAAGGACTGGCTATTTGCATCATTTGTGCATTGATGACATGACAATTTATATTTGTAAAGAACTGAGCGTCTAGACTAATTTGCAATCTAACTGACTTAGGGATCAAGTCATCTAGTTCTGAAGGTAATCACAGGGTCTATCTGGAAGAAGAGGCCAGCCGCCTGTAACTGGGTTGCCCTATTTCAATTCCTTTCAGTTCCAACTTGTTGGGGGGTACTTTAGCAAGGAACCCCAACTATTCAAACATCCCTGAGCAATTAACATTACTCCATCTATCTGGAAGTTGCCTTAATCAATTCAGTCCAAGCAGCAGGAAAGACCAGAATACAGAGGACAGGAGGCCATCTGCCCACCCAGCTGGGTCAGCTGAATTAACTCTGGTAATCACTTATTGCATCTACATCCTAACTAGAAATAATTTTAAAGAATGTCTGTAAAGCTCTGCTAGTTCTTTCTTCCTTAATTACAAAGAGAATGTTGGTATCTGTAGATCAGTGAAGCTATATTCGTTTTCAGACTTTCCATTCTCCTGCCCATCCCCACTTTTGTTCTTCCATCTCCAGAGTTTGAATCCAAAACGCAAGAAGTACTGAGACTGGCAGATCTCCCAGAATCAAAATGGGTAAGTTGTTTTCTCTTACTTGAAGCCTGTGGTGAAGCCTCGACCTCCAGGTTAGATGGGAAGCGTTCACTCTGAGCCCCAAGGACTCCCATGGGCAGTGACTGGTCTCCAGAAGCAAGGTCAGCCTCCAGTTCCTCACTGACAGGGAAGGTGATGTCGCTCACAGGTTCCTCCTTGATCTTTACAGGTTTAGTGTCCTCTGTGGCCTTCTCAGGATTGACAATCCTTTCATACTCTTCAGAGAGCTGCTTACTAATCTGTTGGCAAGCAAGAGTCAATTTTCCAAGTTAAAAGCAAGTTGGATAGTCAGCTTGTGGCATCCACGGAAAAGCCAACAGAATATGAATATGCATAAAACATCACTGCCAAAGGAAGGAATGTGAGTTTGAAATTCGTAAATGACAGAGACATGTAAAGAATATCTGTTTAGCAGAGAATGTGTATGTCATTAATTAAAAGGTACATAAAGGTGAAAAATATTTAGACTATTATATCAGAACTGGGACAAAAGATCACATTTTTAGCTATAAAAATTAAGATTCGACATAGGTACCACAGGTGGATGATGAACACTGTAGGAAATCTGGGTCGCTTAGCAAAGACAACTGGGTGTTAAGAATTCCTTACCATATTTTAGATTTGGGGAAACCGAAACAGTGAACAAAATGCCTCAGGCCACAAGGATTGAAGAGCTCAGATATTTCTGGTTCTAACCAAAAATGGTGTCTCCCCCACCACACTCCACCCTTGGGCAGCATCACCTCACTGTTTTGTTTTTCTCATAGCACTTAACGCCGTCTGAAATGATTTTGATCATTATTTGTTTACTTGTTTTTGTTTCCCTCTCAACAAGAGTGCAAGCTCAAGGAACTTGTTAACTGCTGAATCTCATAGTGCCTGACTCACAATAGGCACTCAATAAATATTCGTTGAATAAAAGCATGCTAACCACATGCTATAATTTCACTGACTAAAGGAGACCCCTGAGTCTGGCCACGTCAGTGATGAGGCCAGTGGAACACAGCCAGGGCCGAAGAGGAAAGCAGGGTAAGTCCACTCTGTTCCAAGACCCTGTACTCTGCACCCTAGAGCAAGTGTTAGGGATCCTGCTGGACACCCCTAGATTACACATCTTTACCCACTTCTCCTCAGGGTCCTCTCACCTGCAGCATGTAACTGTGATAGTCCTTGATGCGGTGCTGCCAGAACTTCTGGAGGGAGAGCACGCTGCCAATGCCCACTTCATGGAAAACCTGCTCCATCACGTCGGGGAAGGGAGTCTGCCCCAGCCGGGCCTCCTGATCCACAGCAAAGCGCAGCAACTTGGTGAACTTAAGACAATACTCGTGTGCCACATCAGTTAGGGTCTCCAGGACACTTTCGTTAGCACACTCAAAGCCTGCGTGGGCTAGGATTGTGGCCACTGCCTGGTAGAGGAGCTGCCGGCAGGAGTGCCAGCTGAGTTCAGTCACAGGTTCCCCTTTTCCACTGAAAGCAGAGACATGCTAGTGTTATTAGTGCTCTTGCAAAGGGGTGACCTGTCCTGTCTCCCTAGGAAATTTACAATCCCAATCAAACCACCGGCTCAGCTTTCCAGGGGAATTCTAGGCAGGTTACATAGCCCAGTGCCATCTTGTTGCTGTCAGGGCCTGTCTCAACAACCCACAGTCATATCCCTGAGCTGCTCCAATTACATAAGGTTTGAACAGGCAATAGATGCCTGTAGTAAACAGTATAAAAGGGTATATGGTGAAAAGGAAGTTTCCTTCTCCTTATAACAACTGCTGGATTTTGATCACTTTTAGGATATGATTAATTTTAAGAGTATAGCTCAGATACTGCTCAGTGGTGCTCTATTTCACCAGAACATAGGTTCCTCACATGCTGGGCAATATATGGACTTCTAGAAATTCACAGGCCCAATTAGGAGATTCTTATTTAACTACAACAGACCATTTGTAAAGCTGGGAAAGGAACTCAATTTTATAAAAGCAATTTAAAACATATATAGCTTACAAAGCATTTTTATCCTGTTTTATGCTGTGAAGTGGGTAGGGGTCCATATTTCTTCATATTCCTATCCGGCAGGTGAAGAAAATGAAGTTCAGAGGGGCTGACTTGCCAAAAGATTTTGGGTATTATTAAGTGATAGAGCTTCTGCCTTTAGATCCCATGTTCTTAATAATACACTGTTTTGCGCCTAATCACTATGACAAAGATCCTAATCTTTCCCAAACAAAATAAAAAACCTCAAAAAACTGTCTGGTCTCCTAAAAATAACTTTTAATGAGCTCCTAACAATTTACCCGCTTTCCTGAAATTTCCTATCTTCTGCCTCCCTCTGACAAAGTAAATAGATAAAAAAAAGATAGGGTACAGAAAATTACTTTTCCCTGGTCCATACTTGGCATGCGTCACCCTGTGCTTGCTGTACAGAGTGCCTGAGGAGCTGCACACCCATGCTGCTGTTATCTGCTCAGTAGCAACTACTGTAACTCACATAATAATTGGAACATAAGAAAACCAACTGCCTAATAACTTTTCATTCACTGTTTGCATCATCGTTTCCCATGGCCAGTCTCTCTGGACCAAAAGCTAAAGGCTTCAGAAGTGCCTAATAAACAGAGCTAAATCAGTATTGCTTTGCTTAATATGTGGACCCATTTCAAAGGAAAATAATTCTTCCCGTACCCCCATAGCTGATGCAAATTATTTTTGTACACCGTTTCTTAAATATGTATAAAACAAACTACGTTTAAACTTCTGATGTTCACAGAATCTTCCTAACAATTAAAATTAGAAAATTGTCACAAAAGTACAAATTCTAAATAATAGCATCAATTTAATATGAAAGACAATATTATTTTGTTAAAGGTAAATTGCTCTCAAAATGTAAACTTGGTACTGATTCCCACAGAGTAAGTGTGTTGAAGTTAGGCACATCTATACTAACACGGGGCAAGCATGTAACGACACAGTTCTCCCTCGCTTTTTCACTATTCCAATGTCTTCAGAGCCTTTGATTAGACAATACACCATGACATTTTCTGGCCTTCTTCTGGCCCAACTGCAAGCCTTACTTAACAAGTCTATTTCTGTTCTTTTCTCATTAGTTTGGGACAATTAAAATAGTAGCAACTATTATCATCAATAGGCAGATGCACTAAGTGATATACAATATTACTTATGTAGTATTTTTGCCAACATTTCATTTGAATCTAATCTTGAGGAAATAATCAGCAAATCCAGTCTGATTTGGGACAGCCTACAAGTGACCTAAACTCTTAAAAAAGATTAATATCATGTATTATAAAAGGGGGAAGCTATTCTGGCTTAAAAGACACTAAAGAGGCAGAGAAAGACAAATACTGTATGATATCATTTTTATGTGGAATCTAAAACAAACTAGTGAATATAACAGAAAAGAAATAGACTCACAGATATAGAGAACGAACTAGTGGTTACCAGGGGGGGAGAGCGAAGAGGGGCAGGGCAAGATAGGAGAAGGGGATGAAGAGGTATAAACTACTATGTATCAAATAAATAAGCTACAAGGATATATTGTACAGCACAGAGAATATAGCCAATATTTTATAATAACTTTAAAAGGAGTATAATCTATAAAAATATTGAATCATGATGTTGTACACCTGAAACTAATATAGTATTGTAAATCAACTATACCTCAAAAAAAAACACTGAAGAGGTATAACAACCAAATGCAATGCGTGAATCTTTGTTAGGTCCAGGACTGGGAACAAACATACCTACAAAAGATATTTTGGAGACAACTGGAGAAATCTGAATACAGACATATTAAATGATAGTATTTAATTAGTGTTCATTTACTTTGACGTGATAATGGTTATTGGGATTGTGTAGGAAATTTCCTTATTCTTAGGATAAGTTGAAGAATTTAGGGGTGAAAGAATGCTGAAGAATTTAGGGGTGATATATTGCAATGTCTGCAACTTTAAAATATTTGGCAAAAAAGGTCTTATGTGTATATGTATATATATATGTTTGTATATTTGTGTGTAAATGTGTGTATATACACTTACACATACGTGAGAGAGAGAAAGTAAATGTGGCAAAATGTTAACAATTGGTGAATCCAGGTGAAGGGTATTTGGGTGTGTGTCATACTATTTAAACTTTTCTATAGGTCTGACAAAGTTCAAAATGAAAAGGAAACAGTAATTATTTGGCACCAAATGCAAACTTTCACACCGAAACCTAGTAGTAGCCCTAGGTTATAAGGCAGTCATTCAGAGGACCTGGAGCAGGGCTTCTCAAATTGAAATATACTTATGAACATTCTGGAGGTCTTGTTAAAATGAAAATTCTGATTCAGCAGGTCTGCATTTCTAACAAGCTCCCAGGTGATGTTGATGTTGCTGATCTTGGACCAGATTTTGAGTAGCAAGGATCAAGAACATTTTTCTATTATTATTTCTTAAAGTATGTTATCAAAATGAAAATACACAATTAAAAATTCTTGTATAGAACTTGGAGATTCCTAATAGTATGAGAATAAGTCCATGAATCTCATTTTAAGGGCACTGAGCTAAACCCATATTATACCTTTTAATGAAACAGAAGGACTAGACTCTGAGGACTATGCGACCATGGCCTATTTTACAAACTAGTGTAGCACTTACTCCTAGTAAAGTGCTTGGCACATATTAGGCACTCCATAAATATTTGCTGCATCAGAAAATAAAAAAATAACAGACTCTGGATTCGGAAGATCAGGGTTCAAGTCCTAGACTTCCCACTAATTACCTGAACAACTTTGGCCAAGGCAATTACTCTCATCCTCAGTTTCCTCCTGGAAATGTGATTACCTGCTTAACACAGTTGTTGGGAAGATTTTTTGAGAAAAGTAAGATATAGCAAAGCCTTGCCTTACCGATAAAAGTCACTCTCTGGGTCACTGTGCCGGATGTGGAATGGGGCGCTGGGATTCTTACAATCTAAAGGAAGGAGGTCATCAGGAAGAGGAGGTGACCCAGGGCAGGACGGAAGAGGCTCACTCTCTTCGGTCTTTACACCTTCCGTCTGTTGCTGGTTCTGGGCCTGAGCTGTGGCAATGAGGTTACGCAGACGTCGGTTGTGCTGGATCAGCTGAATGGTATGGATGGTGAGGCTGCATGGCTCTGAGGGGATATCCAACATAGTGGGGGGCTTGGGCTTGTTGGCTGAGGGTTGGTGCAGGGGTGGGTCATGGACTTCTACCAGTCGGAACTCCCGAGGGAGCAAGTCAAAGGAACTTCTGTTGGTCTGGCTTGATGAGATTGGTATCTCTCCCCAGTATCTCAACATTTTGGAATAAGAAAGGAAGAGCTTTCAAGTTAAATATAGATGATATCCGAAAAGCAGTGTTTTAAAATCTCTAGCAACTGCAGGTTATGGGCTTCTGTAGTGAAAAATATGAAGTCTAGCCAGTTATTTACATAAAAAGTAGGCAGTTCAAGACCACTTAGAAAAATGTCAGTGTCAGCAACACTGTAGGACCAAGGATGTTCTCCCTGAAGAAATTAAGAGAAATATAACTGTTAGATGCCAGTCATCACAATCACACACTAGGACAATTCTTACTGGACTGAACCACAAGGTAGAGTTTGGGTCATCAGTAGATTAATAGCTGCAAGAGTATCGGGGGCTATAGTGTCCATATTTTCCATCTCACCCTACTAACTCATCACGAGAACTGCCATCATACCCAGTCCTGAACGATTTGCAAGGCAAATACTTCTCAGAGTATCTTGACACATCTGTCCTGGATTAGTAGGAGAAAAGGGAATAGAGTTAAAGATAGGAAAAGGTGGTTCTTTTTTTTTTTTTGATGCAGCTTGTAGGATCTTAGTTCCCTCGACCAGGGATAGAACCCAGGCCTGGGCAGTGAAAATGCCGAGTCCTAACCATTGGACCACCAGGGAATTCCTGAGGTGGTTCTTAATTTGTGAATGCCAGGCATGGGAACCTTTAACTGGTCCTGGTGGAAAAATTTATGAACCACTAACCTAAACGGTCTTATGCATTCAACTTGACGTATACAGGGAAGAATCTGAGATATCTGCTGTCTCCTAACGAATATCCCTTCCTTCAGTCTCTCCTTATATCTAATCTACTCTCTACAGTAATGCTAGAATTAATATTTTAAACTCATTGCCTATTGGAAAAAAGTCAGTCAAAATTTTTTTGGTTTACCATTCAACAACGTTTACAGTCTGGCTTCAACTCACCCTTCCAGATTCATTGCCCATATGTCTCTTCAAATTCAACAAACATTTACCGAATGCCAGGTATCATGTGAAGAGATAAAGACTAATGCAAGATCCTTACCCTGAAGTGAGGGAGAAAAACATAAAAAGGACATTTCAATATTAAAATGTGTGGTAAGAGCTGTTCTAGAGACACAGACCTGGTGCAGTGAGAAAACACAAAGGAGGAACTTCCTGGAGAAAATGATCACTTTAGATCTACCAGTATCAGACTACTCAGGCTGAGAATGCCATGCATTTTCACAGCTTAAAGATGTGATCTCTGCCAGAAATGCCCTGACACCCACCACATCCCTGGCAGACTTGTATTCATTCTTAAGTATGGCTTAAGTCACCACCCTCTATCACCTCCCCAGTACAACTCCCTTCATCATATTCTCACAGCACTTTGCATGTCTCCATCACAACATTTATCCCTATATTTAAACTAGTACTTATCTCAATTTTATTCTTCCATCTAGCTCTCACAACTGTGATCTTAGTACAGTGAGTGCCTACTACATGCCGGGCTTTGCCTTTACTGTTAATTCCAATCTCCCAACTTCTCTATGAAGTAGATACTATTATTACCCCACTTTGCAGATGTGGAAGCTGAGGCCTACTGTCTTGCCTAATGTCAGAAATGGCTGAGAGGGAAAATCAACACGGCCAGGCTCCAGGGCCTGCACTCTTAACAACTACACTATGCTGCCTCATTAATTGGTTTCGGAAAGAATAAAAGAACAAACGAATAAATGAATGAACCAAGTGACAACAAAAATCGCCCTCTCCCCTAGCTTCACCGAAAGGAGCACGAAGGACAGACACCAACCACAAGCAATGCCCAAGTCCCTAGGGGGGGCTCCTCCGTCACCGTCAGCAGGCGCAGGCGCCAATCACAGGGTCCTGGGGTCCCCTAATGCTGGGGCAGCCATGACACAGGGACATCTGGACCTGGACCGAGGCAAGGAGGCTCCACTATGGACTGCCACGTCGCAGGTGCGGGGCTGGGCGGCTGTACGATTCCGAGAGGCCCGAGACAAGGGTCGCGTCAGGCCCGGAAAGCTGGTGTGTTGATTAGTGATTCAAGGCTGCCGGAAGCGCTTCTTCTCAATCAGGCGCGGCCACAGGAAGTCGTTATAACCCAGTTGCAACCTCTAAAGATGTCCCCATTGCGACAGTACCTCGACCGCCTTTTTGCTTTCCTCTTCTTATAACTTCCCAGGATACTCATTTCTTCACAACGCTGTAGGTCGTGAAGGAGCAACTCTACCGTCGCTGCCAGAGAAGCCGCTGGGGGCTGGGGAGAGGGAGGTGTGGAGAGGAATGTAGAGACCGAGGGGGTGAGGTTTCCCTGGAACAGATTTCGACGCTGCACGCGCTTGATGATGGCTGCTGGTCCGTCTCAGTCCGAGCCGCTGGCTTCGCAGGAACTCAATGGCGACTTCAAGAAGCCAGGCTTGCCCTTGCCCCCGGCGGTGCGGGGCAAAGCCCCGGCCACCAATCCTTCAAACCCTGAGGAGGTAAAGAAGGAAGGGCCCACAGCGCTGCCGGACTCCGATTCCGCGGAGCCTGAAGACCCGCCAGCCCTGCGGGACAGCGGGGAGACTAGGGGTCCAGCGGAGGAGCAGCCACGGCCCTCCACAGCGGCTCCTTCCCCTGGCGGCCCGGCCCGGGCTCCTCCTTACCGAGAGCCTCCGTGGGGCGGCCCCGCCACGGCCCCCTACAGCCTAGAAACACTGAAGGGCGGCACCATCCTTGGCACCCGGAGTTTGAAAGGGATGAGTTGCTGTCTTTTCGGGAGGCTCGCTAGCTGCGACGTGTGCCTGGAGCATCCTTCGGTGTCTCGCTACCACGCTGTGCTGCAGCACAGGGTGTCCGGTCCCGAGGCAGAATGCGACGGCCATGGGCCTGGCTTCTACCTCTACGATTTGGGAAGCACCCATGGCACTTTTCTTAACAAAACCCGCATCCCCCCCCCGCACCTACTGTCGGGTCCACGTCGGGCATGTCCTTCGCTTTGGAGGCAGCACCCGGCTCTTTGTTTTTCAGGTAAGTAGAAAAACGTAGAATTGCAGTCTCTGGAGTGCACCCAGCTGCGTTCCTGAGCTCGTTAAGTTTTCACTAAGTTAGGAGATTGTCTCAGTCAGCGATTACAAAAGTGGAGAAATCTGGCCCCTCATCTCCAGACCTCGGTACACATTGCCATATTTCTGAAAGTGACTTTAACAATCAACTGTAAAAGAATTCTTTTGCTTGATCCATCAGGGACCAGAGGAAGACCGAGAGGCAGAATCTGAGTTGACAGTAACGCAATTGAAGGAATTGCGCAAGCAGCAACAAATGATGTTGGAAAAGAAGATGCTGGGAGAAGACTCAGATGAAGAAGAGGAAACGGATACAGCTGAAAGAAAGAGAAATACTAGTAGTCAAGATGATGAAATGGGCTGCACCTGGGGAATGGGTAAGGAATCAAAATTGCTGCCAGAGGTTAATATTTTAAATTCATTTCTACTAGTACGCGTAAATGTTTTTTGGTGTTTTTTTGTTTGGGGTTTTTTGTTTTTCTTTTTATCATACAGCTTTCATGACTCTTTGAGATAGATAGGACAAATACAGTTTGCACATTAGGTTACCCAAACTCAGATTTATTAACTTTTCTGATGCCAAAAAATTGAATTATGGGCACTATTGATTTCTTTTAATGTGTTTTACAGTGCACTCCTTTGTTCAAAAGTTCCTGTGTATAGTTTATTATTTTTAACCATTAAAATTTATTTAATTAAGTACTGATTATTGCTAAAGGGGGTGAAACTACATTCAATCAAATAAAACAGAATGTTATTCAGTATAGGAGTTCTTTTGAATTTTTCATACTTTGGACAAATACCCTGAAATGTGAAAATATCTAATCAGAGGAATAAATTGAATTTTCCATAACACCAGACATTTTAGAGGACGGGTATTCAGGAGCTAGGATTTTGAAAAGCTAGAAGATGGCCTTACTATGTTGTTGGGAAGACAGATAAATCTTATGAAATTACTTGTGGTAAGTGCCAAACAAAAGCTAGAAACCATTAGTATGCTAGGGTAAGGGTTCAGAAAAGGGAGCAGTCACTGAGGACCTAGGCCTGTGCTATCCAATATGGTGGTCATCAGCCACATTGGGAACTTACAGTGTGGCTAGTCCAAATTGACATGTGCTGTAAATGTAAAATACACACTGGGTTTCAAAGACTTAGTGTGAAAAAAGAATGTAAAATATAATACTTTATGTAGATTCCTTGATAATAATTTCACCTGTTTCTCTTTTTTGGTGTGGCTACTAGAAAATGTAAATTGCATATATGGCTTTCATTATATTTCTGTTGGCCAGCACTAACAGATCTTTGGGACAGTTTATAAGTTTATAAACAGAAGGGTTTTGAGCTGGGACTTGAAGGAAAGGAAAAGAAGCCCTTAAGAAGCTGAGCATTGGGGTGGTATTTGGGGCAGGGATTGATGATTGTAATGGAGTACTAAGTAGACCAGTCTGTTGGTGGATATGATAAGTAATTGGGAAATTATACTGAAGACAAAGTATTAGACCTGGGTGTGAGAGAGTGAGAATGCTGGGCTGAGGAACTTCATTTTTTTTTTTTTTTTTTTTTTACATAGAGAATGTGGTAGGTAATTTTGCTTTTAAAATATCAATACATATAGTGATGGAGAACAAAAATAAGGTGCCATGAAAACAAGTTTTAACTTGTCACACAATTTAGAAAACCTGAAGATGTTCATACTGATGGTCTTGTGGTTGTCCTCCTCCCCCCCACCCCCACCTTTCTTTTCATCACTGATAACTGTATCTTTATTCAGCCTGAAGGGATAATGGGTGTCATTCAGATAGTCTCTTATGTCTGATTGTCTTTTCTTTCCCGTATCCTGTAGGAGAAGATGCTGTAGAGGATGAGGCTGAAGAGAACCCCATTGTCTTAGAGTTTCAGCAGGAAAGAGAGGCCTTTTATATAAAGGATCCAAAAAAGGCTCTCCAAGGTTTTTTTGACCGAGAAGGTATGTAAACAGATTCGGACACTGCCAGTATAATGTATCCACAACAGGGTGGTTTTCCAGATCTTCAGGTACTTAGAAATGCTGTAATTTATCTGCTCTCCTCCTTGTTCAGTTCTTGCCTGTGTGGTCAGTTGCTTCAGGTTTATTTTGAAAATAGTAAGAATTTTGTTATTTTTCACATCTTGGAAAAAAGGAAGTACTTTTGCCTGACTTCATCCCCTTCTTGTCAGAAGATCCAGGACTGGGGTGGTGGGGAGATTGACCCAACTTCTTGTCATTTTTTTGTTTCTAATTCACCTGATCTTTTGTAATTCTTAACATGGATTTTCACTTTGTATGATTTAAAGAATGTTTCCACAGAGAATAGTTTCAGTAGAAATGCTTTGAGAGAACATCTATGTGTATGTGTGCACGTGTGTATGAGTGTAAATATATATATGAACTGCTTGCATTCTGCACTTAATATTTATGCTTCTAAAAACTAGGCAACCATGATAAATTAACACTAAGTCTACAACTTTTAAGTGTGAAAGCTCCTATATAGGGGACAAACCTGTGTATGGAGAGTTGTTTTGATTTGAGTTTGGGCTTTTCTCTGCCTCAAGCTCATTCTAATTTTATTATCAGATAATAATTTCTAGGAATAGGAAGTGAAATGCTTTGAAATTTAGTATTCAATGTGGTATGAGAACTTTATATTCTTACTTAACCTTTGCTGTCTTTTCCCTTTGTATCAACTAGTAACTTTCAGATGCTATTAAAATTGTTTTGTCTTTCTTCCTTCCACAGGAGAAGAATTAGAATATGAATTTGATGAACAGGGTCATAGCACTTGGCTTTGCAGGGTGAGGTATGTTCTTTTCTCATTAACATCAATTTATGGAAAGTGGTCAATTTCAGGTTTAATTTATGGTTACAGACAACAACCCAAAGATCAACTTTAATCTTAATTTTAGCCTATTCCTGAATTTGGACCTTGATAGTTTAGTAACACATTGGGGTTAGGGTGGGATGAGTAAAAGGTGGAAGGAAAAGATTTGAAGTCCAACCTTGGCAAGATAGAACAAAATGAACTGAGAGACTAAAAAGCCATCTCAGGGCTCCCCTGGTGGCGTAGTGGTTGAGAGTCCGCCTGCCGATGCAGGGGTTCGTGCCCCGGTCCGGGAAGATCCCACATGCCGCGGAGCGGCTGGGCCCGTGAGCCATGGCTGCTGAGCCTGCGTGTCCGGAGCTTGTGCTCTGCAACAGGAGAGGCCACAACAGTGAGAGGCCCGTGTACCGCAAAAAAAAAAAAAAAAAAAGCCATCTCAAAAAATATGACTATTATCATAAGATATTAATTTTTTTCATGAGAATTGGAGCTTAGTGCCATGCTATAATTCCCCCCAAACCAATGCAGATTACCTGTGGATGATTCAACTGGAAAACAGCTAGTGGCTGAGGCTATTCACTCAGGAAAGAAAAAAGAGGCAATGATCCAGTGCTCACTGGAAGCTTGTCGAATCCTTGATACTTTGGGATTGCTGCGTCAGGAGGCAGGTGAGTACGTGGGAACACTTTTCTTTAAAAAAAAAAAAAAAAGGAAAGAAGGAAGGGAAATTTAATACATAAGGTTACAAAACCTCTTTTTAGGGGGAAAATGTAAATCGTACAGAATTCTATGAAGTGAAAAGAAAAAATTCCCTATCTCCATACCCAAAAGTAACCGTTGTTTACTTGTATTCTCCCAGACATTTTCTATAGATGTGTGTTCAGAAGTAGATCCTTTAACAAAAAAACACCATGCATACACAAATGCATTTATGTTACTTATAGTATTCTTTGGTGACATTTTAACATAAGAATGTATCATGGACATTACCCATGTCATTGCATTAAATTTACCTTATTTTTAAAAAATCTGTCTGGGTATATAATTATTTTTTATTTATTCTAAAATTAATTTTATTGCAAATTAACTTACATATAATTTAAAACTACCAAAGGCTTATAACTAAATATACCT